GGTGTAAAAGATGGTAAATTATAATAACTTGGTGTAAAAGATGGTGAATTATAATAACTTGGTGTAAAAGATCAATAATTATAACAACTTGGTGTAAAAGATGGTGAATTATAATAACTTGGTATAAAAGATGGTAAATTATAATCACTTGGTGTAAAAGATGGTAAATTATAATAACTTGGTGTAAAAGATGGTGAATTATAATAACTTGGTGTAAAAGATCAATAATTATAACAACTTGGTGTACACATGAATTATGATGATAATAATAATTATTCTTTTATGAAATGGATTCAAACTAAGCATGACATGAAAGGTGTAGTGTAATTGCTACTCTTGCTTGAACGAACTACAACAAAGAAGGTATAAACTTGAAAATACAGATCATGAAAAAAGATGTCAAATTAAAACAATTGAATAACACACACAGCGCGTAGCGTGGGATCAAGTGAATTTAAGCAACTCACCTAATAGAAGATATTAGGTCAGACTAATTCGAACAACATTCAACGTAGAAGGCTTAGCATAACACAAGTTGAAAATAAAATATTCAGAAGAAAATATGATAAAACCAATTCGAACGATAACCAATATCAAGATGTAGAGTTAAGTCAGTTTGAACAATACACATGTAGTAGAAGATACTGTAGTGTTAGAAGAGAGAAGTTTTTACACCAGTTAAGAAAACGAAAAGTATGTACGGATAGGAAACAACATGGGTGGTGAACCACAGCTCATTTCAAACATCCCCATGATTTTGAACAGAACACAACAACAGCTTTAACAAAACTGAACTGGGGGTGGGCAAAGTTTGCTTTTCACGCTGCGAATTGTATGGTCCAAGGTTCGAGATGTAATACCGCTAGACATCAGTACTTTTAGCTGTGGATGGGTTATAAAAATGACAGTAAATCTCTCTATTTGGCTCTGAGAACCAAATAAAAAGATGCTTCTGGGTGGTCGCCAGTTCTCTTGTTAATAGTTTAAGATGAAGAACGGCTATACACTAGGGATCTTTAAACTGGTCGTTTAGTTTACATGCGTATAAGATGCCGTTCAGGTTGAAAATTACAAGTGAACAACCCATTCAGTGATAGGTGTTCGAGTAACCGAAATCGTCAACACGCAAAGTAAAATAATTAAACTGAGTCACCCAACAGGATAACTAGTGCTAAAATTCGCCAGTATTAACAACACAACATATAAAAAATGTTAGATTAGGCTAGTCCAGTCAAAGTGAGAAGAAAGAAGTGTTAGATTGGGTCAGACTAGACAAAGTGAGAAGAAAGAAGCGTTAGATTAAGCCAGACTAGACAAAGTGAGAAGAAAGAAGCGTTAGATTAGGTCAGAATAGACAAAGTGAGAAGAAAGAAGCGTTAGATTAAGCCAGACTAGACAAAGTGAGAAGAAAGAAGCGTTAGATTAGGTCAAACTAGACAAAGTGAGAAGAAATTAGGGTTAGATTAGGTCAGACTAGACAAAGTGAGAAGAAATTAGCGTTAGATTAGGCCAGACTAGACAAAGTGAGAAGAAAGAAGCGTTAGATTAAGCCAGACTAGACAAAGTGAGAAGAAAGAAGCGTTAGATTAGGTCAGACTAGACAAAGTGAGAAGAAAGAATACTCTAATTAAAATCCAGCATAGGGATTTATACTGACTAAATAAAGAACTCAATCTAAAAGCTGACATAAGAATTTGTAGTGATTGAATAAATCACTCAAGTAAGGATTGGGTAAAATACAATTGTTATATTAAATTATAACAACGAGCCATTTTGTGACTAAAGTTTATAATAAAATGAATATTCGTATCACAACAAACGCATTGATTTTCAAGTGACTATATTTCTACAATTAAAAGTTTCGTACGCGTGACTTCAGTTATTTTCCATTATACAACACATTCTTTGTTATAGTAAACCGAAATATTTTCAAAAATTGCCCTGTAAAACCAGTTCTCAGGAGATTGAGATTCATTAAATGAAAGTATTCACGTCAATCGGGAGACAAAATGTGTTATTAGATTTTCTTTCGGACGTTTATAGGAAAGTAGATAAAACACACCATTTTCAATGCGTTACATACTTCAAAATAAACATCAACATTTTTGCAAGTAAACCGTTAGGTCTTTATATTTTCTAACGACTGTAAATTTCATTTTATTTATATATTAGCATAATTTCAATATATATGTCAGCTCGAAATTCCTGTTTTGTTTTCTGGAAAATGTTAACCGGGTATGTGTACCTACAATTGGTAGAGACCCCTACATTTTGTGATATACACTTAAAAGTTGAAAATAATGTTTTCGTATTGGATTTTTTTTTAATTTACTTTAGAGCCTAAAAAATAATTAGATGAGAAGACTTTTTTATTTGAAGTTAAGCACAAAGCTACACAATGGGCTATTTGTGCTTTGCCCACCAAGGGTATGGAAACCCGGTTTTTAGCGTTGTAAGTCCGCAAATATACCGCTGTGCCACTGGGGGGGGGGGCAGATAGGAAGATATTTAATTTTTAAACTTTTACAAAAATATACCACAATGCGTTTTAGTTGTTCTATTTGTTCAACAGTGTCCAGTGACACAGCGGTATGTCTGTGGACTTACAACGCTAGAAACCGAGTTTCGATACCCGTGATGGGCATAGCACAGATAGCCCTTGGTGTAGCTTTGTGCTTAACTACAAACAAACATCAACAGAAATGGAGCTAAATAGGAGGACAAAACTTAAAGCTATTTGTGAAATACTTCTATCTCGTTGAAAATGGTTCTAATAACAAACTAATAGTTTCACTGGTCAAAAAGTATACACAATTTTATTGATCAAAACCAGACGTATCTTACTCTTCAGTTCTTGATTATTGAAGCTGGAGTGAGCGATGTTCGAATTTTTACAAAATCGAAACGATAATAATAGCTGCAAGAATAAATTATTCCATTAAATTGTGGTTTTGAGAAATGTATTCGTGTATATTTAGTTATTTATTAGAGTAATAAAACGCACTACACGTTTTTGTAAATTTATCTGTTATTTTGGAAATTATTAAAAGGAATGATACCCATAAGAAAAACTAGAGGGGATACTCAGTAGAGTGCATACTTCCGCCACGCAGCGTTGATCATATTCAGCTTTCAAAAAATACGAAAATGTGTCCGTATATCCGTCGTTATTAGCTGATGTGGACCACTTTGGCAGGATAATAAGGAATAATATTATACATATGTCCACCAAGTTTCATCAAAACTCGGTTAATTGTGACTGAGTTATAGAGCAAAAATAGTATGAAAAATCGGTCTCCATGTTAACAGATAGGGATTTTTATTATTTTCGTGACCTTGCTGTGACTTTTGACGTTGATCCTCCAGAAATTAATCACTTCTAAGTTAGGTCATAGTCCAAATGTGTACCAAGTTTCGTCCAAATCCATTCAACCGTTTTCGAGAAATCTTGCTGACAAACACACACAGGGGTGAAAACACAATCTCCGTCCACCTTCGATGGCGGAAGTAATAATATATAATATAGTCCACCCAAATTTCGAATAAGGTGACGGTTCATCAGGACTGGACACTTTCGTTGTTGGTTCATCAGGACTGGACTCTTTCGTTGTTGGTTCATCAGGACTGGACTCTTTTGTTGTTGGTTCATCGGGACTGGACTCTTTCGTTGTTGGTTCATCAGGACTGGACTCTTTTGTTGTTGGTTCATCAGGACTGGACTCATTCGTTGTGGGTTCATCAGGGCTGGATTCTTTCGTTGTTGGTTCATCGGGACTGGACACATTTGTTGTGGGTTCATCAGGACTGGACTCTTTCGTTGTTGGTTCATCGGGACTGGACTCATTCGTTGTGGGTTCATCGGGACTAGACTCATTCGTTGTTGGTTCATCGGGACTAGACTCATTCGTTGTTGGTTCATCAGGACTGGACTATTTCGTTGTTTTGGCAACTTCTTCCAATCTATATTCATAGATTTGTTTCGTTTGTTTGTTTGCTGTTAAGCATAAAGATACAGAAAAGGTTATTTGTCCTGTGCCTACCACGGGTATCGAAACCAGATTTTTTTAGCGTCATAATATTTCAAACTTGCTGCTGAGCCACTGGGAGGGGGCATATTCCTAAGAGAGTAAGGAATTTCTGATTTGAGAAATGTTTTGACTTTCATGTTTTTTGTTTCGTCAAATAATGTTGTTGTTTTTTTTTACCTTGTTCTATAACAGAGTTGTTTTCTTTGTTGGTAACTAACAGCTTCAAGCCCTCGGTGGTTCAGCGGCAAGACTGAAGGCTTATAAGTTTAAAAAATCGGGGTATGATATCCGCAGTGGTCACATCACAGGTAGCTCAATGTGTATTATAATAAGAACAACATTAACAATCCTTCTTTTGGTGAGTGACATTTGTTGGTAAGAAAAATATAAAGACAGTTGAGCCTCAATATTGCTTCAACTAAAGGAGTTTTGTTTGTTTTGAATTTCGCGCAAAACCACACGAGAGTTATCTGCGTTAACCGTTCCTAATTTAGCAGTGTAAGACTAGAGGGAAGGCAGCTAGTCATCACCACCCACTGCCAACTGTTGGGCTACTCTTTTACTAACAAATAGTGGGATTGACTGTTACATTATAACGCCTCCACGGCTGAAAGGGCGAGCCTGTTTGGTGGGACGGAGATTCGAATCCGCGACCTCAGATTGCGAGTTAAGCGCCCGAACCACTTGGCCATGCCGGGCTGAACTTAAGGAAGCCACACCTAGAATTAACCAAAACCGTTTGTGTAGACAATGTGAACACTTATTACACTTTATGGATGTAAGTACAACAAGTTAATATAAAATATTTAACGAAATATCCAACAGTTAATCTTAGCGTCTTTGTCTGAACATTTTATATTTGCAAATAAATAATTAAACAGTGGGGTAAATATGCCCCCACAATTGCGGAGGGGAGAGACAAAAGCGGGCCCAAATCAGCCAGAATCGTAACAGTAACTACAATTATAGGGAAATAAAAGTAGGGGACACGATTTTATTTTATGTGAGTGAGGGGGGGGGGTGGATATATTTTGTAGTTGCGCCACAGTAATTAAAACTAAGTCTAATAATTGATACTTGGAACCGTCGGTATTTGGTGAAACTTTATAACTGCATTATTGAAAATTGAATGAAAAAACAAAGACAACAGTACGTTTAAAACAAAAACAATAGTACGTTTAAAACAAAGACGATAGTACGTTTAAAACAAAAACAATAGTTTACGTTTAAAACAAAGACAAAAGTACGTTTAAAACAAAAACAATAGTTTACGTTTAAAACAAAGACAATAGTACGTTTAAAACAAAAACAATAGTACGTTTAAAACAAAGACAATAGTACGTTTAAAACAAAGACAGTAGTACGTTTAAAACAAAAACAATAGTTTACGTTTAAAACAAAGACATTAGTACGTTTAAAACAAAGACAATAGTACGTTTAAAACAAAGACAATAGTACGTTTAAAACAAAGACAATAGTACGTTTCACAAGAACTTCATTTATTCGTGATGATGCCTTTACTGGGGAAACCATGGTCACGAAAAAACTAAGTTTTTTGTTTTTTTCTTCAATTCTGCAAGTCCTGATACTTATAAACACATTTTAGCTTCTCACAGCAGCAAAATGTCCACGTACTTGTATTTATTTTCATCTTATATACTCGTACGTGCCATAGTAGTTTCGACTGTTCGTGGTTACTCCAAAAAATTCGATTATTAAGGTGCTTTTCAATAACTTAAAAATACAATTAACAATTATTATTTCACATCGCATAAACATACGTATATCTTTAGGAATATTATCAACCTATTGAATATCTCAAAAGACGAGCAATAATAATAGAAGTTGTAAAACCGGATACAACAAGTAGCTGATTTTCTTGATTTTCAAACCGAGCTCACTACTCTGTTAACTAGACCACTACAGCAACAGACAGAAATTGCTTTATTAGTGTTCACTTGAATGTTGCCTGCACGGTCTACTAATAAAGATTTATTACTGGTGCAGGGAACTGTTGAGAGAGTGTGTAGTTGTTGGTTTACTTTTAACTCAGGATGTACCTTGTGTATCCACGGGTTCTCTTTACTGCGGAGCAATTCTTCTTTATTGGTCGCGTTTCTCAAGACGTTGAACTCGTTGGGTTTAGTATTAATGTCACAATCTTGCATGGCTACACCTTGGACATGTAAATTTGTAGATGACATAAGAGCGATGCGTTTTAGGGATACTGACATATACGACACATCGGTTTGAAAACAGTTCTAAACTTAACTTGTGGATAAATTTTGTTATTCAAAATGGTTTTAATTTTTTCTTTAATTCTACTGCACGTTTGCCAGTGAAAGGTAGACTACAATAAGCTATTTCTTTAGTTTCTACATCTTTGCTTCCAAAGTAGTTGTTGGTTGCAGATCAACTTAGACTATCCAGTATATAATAATAATATTATTATGGTTCGTTTCTCAAATTAGAATCGTTTTACTATATAACTATGATGTACATATAAAGGTGTTTTATAATAAGTGGTACCAGTCCTTTTTTTGAAGATGTTTCATAATTGGTGGCACTGGTCCTTTTTAAAGGTGTTTTATTAGTGGTTCTAGTCGTTTTTAAAGACGTTTTATAATTAATGGTACTAGTTCTTTTAAATAATTTTTATTAATGGTACTAATCTATTTTAAGGATGTTTTATTAGTGGTACTAGTCCTTTTAAATATGTTTTATAATTAGTGGTACTAGTTCTTTTCAAAGATGTTTTATTAGTAACACTAGTCTTTTTTAAAGATTTTTCATAATTAGTGGCACTAGTCCCCTTTAAATATGTTTTATTAGTGGTACTAGTCCTTTTGAAAGATATTTTATAATTAGGGTACTAGTTCTTTTTTAAAATGTTTTATTAGTGGTACTAGTCCTTTTTTAAAGATGTTTTATAATTGACACTAGTCCTTTTTAAAGATGTTTTATTAGTGTCACTAGTCCTTTTTAAAGATGTTTTATTAGTGTCACTAGTCCTTTTTAAAGATGTTTTATAATTAGTAGTACTAGTCTTTTTTTTTAAAGACCATTACAAAGCTTAAAACCATTGCAAGTAAAGGCTGATTCTTTCATATATATACATGTATGTGTGTGTGTTTGAAATTATAAACTATAAAATATTTTCCACATAATAACTGTAGATAAATTAATGAAACTTTGTCCTTTTTTATAGATACAATTGGCGCCTCTCTGTTTTCACCTATATTAATAGAATGAGAGAAGTAAATACGTACTACCTTGCTGTCAGTGGTTCAGAGTAATTGTTATTGTAGCTTCTGAAAAACATTTTTCTCACGACAAAATATTGCGTTAGGTGTCACACGCTCTGTTTGATATGACGTAATCCCTCACTCTCGAATTGCCATAAAATAAATGTAACATACAAGGATGTTCATCTTATTCGTTTAACACAATGTTACTGACAACATAAACTTGTCTATAGCCAACACCCAGGGAAGCCGTTAATTAAATACACCTGAAGATTGAAAATGTCAGTATAAACGATAGCTTTTGTCGTCACAGAGTCACCAACGTATAGCACATTACTGGGCGTCAACAGGTTTTGCTATGCTTTTTTCATATTAAATATTTTGTTGAAATAGAAAATAGCACGTATTCATGCGTTATTAGATGTAGAAAAATATTAATTTATATTGTGTGTCTGTAGAGAGAGAGAAAAAGAAAACAATTCAATAATTTTAAACACGTTAAATAATAAAAGTGTCGCACATTTATACAGTATTGGCTTACACTGCAAACGTGATATACGAGCTATGTCATAATGTAGTAATATATAAACAATGAACTACAAATATTTGTGAATTGTGATAATTCAGTGTTAAATTCCTAGTGAATTTATGGCTTCTTACGGTGTTTAATACGGATTTAAATTGATGGGACAAAATAAATTTACTTTGCTCAAAAAAATCATTGTAAAATATGTTTTTATTTTATACATTCTAAAGGTCAGAATGTTATTAACTAAATTGCCCAAAAGATGGCGACACAAATATATAAGTCTTAATGATAATAATAATTTAATAACTCAAAAGCGAACAAATAACAAGAAATTACGATACTTTTGTTTAATGTAGTTTATATACACAAGTTATAGCAATAAATATTATTGTAAAATCTACTGTAATCTGTCTGGTCTACCGCTTCATAATTAGGGACGACTAGAGCAGATAGTAGACCCTCCCCCGCCCTCTCTTCATGCAGCTTTGCGCGAAATCCAACAAACAAAGTTACACAACTATGTTGAACAGAGCATCTGTGAAAGTACGAGTTTACGTCTCATGTAATATTTATAGTCAGGAATTTTCGAAAAATGTTAATAATGTTATTCATAAATCGTAAATCGCACTGTTACTAATAACTGATTACCTAAAGCGAAAACGTCCCTTGCTTTATTATATGTGTGTGTGTGGTGTGGTGTGAATTTGATAATTGAATCTCAAGTTTTACTTGTAAGAAAACTAAAATGCGTTAGATGAAAAAGCGCTACCTACCAACTTTAAAATATAACTAGAATTATTCCAGAAAATTTTGAGTCTTCTTTTTTTCATATATAGGTATATATATTCATTCACCAGCTAACTTTCGTAATATCTATTGTTTGTTTTTGAATTTCGCGCAAAGCTACACGAGGGCTATCTGAGATAGCCGTTTCTAATTTAGCAGTGGGATTGACAGTCACATTATAACGCCCCCACGGCTGAAAAGTGTGATGGGGATTCGAACCAGTGACTCTCAGATTGCGAGTCGAGCGCCCTAACCACCTGGCCATGCCGAGCCCAATATTTTTGAAACTTTCTATGCAAATAAGGATGCGGAATCAGAAGACATGGAGGTACTCATTTATTCTAACTGGGGATGATGTAAAGAAGCATGTTTACACCAAATAGGTGTTTAAGTACTATATATAAATATATATAGAAAAGTATAAGTATCATTCGTTTGAACAACATCAATTTATATGTGCGATACATGGCCGAGTTACTGGTCAATAATAGAATGAAGTTTTGTGCAAAAGTTTTAAAGGATTCCCCATCTTCTTTCTTCTATAATGCACGTCGTGCATTCTATAATTGCATGTTCTGAGAAAATTCATTTTCCTAATCAGAATATCTAACTAAATAACACGTTTTGTCTCTCCACTCTCGAAGAATAACTAACGTTTCTAAAAAGAAAAAAAAATTTTTGAAAGAACTTGGATGAATTCTAAAAAGGTTTTAACATTATCATTTGGAATTTAAAAAGTTCAGCTTTTGTAAGACCAGATTAAACGTTTAATAAAATTAGACGATGTAATGTTGAATATCCTTGTAGAAACCGAATCATAAGTTAAGATCCAAACTCACACAACCTTAGTCTTTAGTGGATGATAATCGGCGTAAAGGGGCAAAGCCTTCTACTTTACTCTGTGTATCTTCTAGTTCTGTCAAAAAAATGCCCTTGACATTTCTTCTCAACTCCTGATGGCAAGTTGACTTATCTTCTCCAATACAGTTACTTGCAAACATTTTTTTATATGTTTGTGTGAATGTACATTTCACCCAGCTCTCAAAAGTTCGTAAATGTCACAATTACCCAGTTCTCAAATCTAACGACTGTTTGGAGTTACAAACCCCATAAAATCAAGAAAATTAACAATTGTAATTGTATATTTCTTTGTTTATTGAATTTCTCGAGGGTTATCGGTGCTAGTCGTCCCTAATTTAAAAGTGATAGACTAGAGGGAAGGCAGCTATTCAACACCACTCACTGTCAATTCTTAGGCTACTCTTTACCAACGAAAAGTTGAATTGACCGTCACATTATAATGCCCCCATCGGCTGAAAAGGCGAGCATTCTCGGTGACGGGATTCGAACCGGCGACCCACAGATTGCAAGTTGAGATCTTTAATTACCAGGCCATTCTGGGACCTATATGATTATGCAACAGCAGTAGCTTTTTGGGATCTTTTTAAATTGACTGTTAGATGGCAGCACATAATTGTCAGTTTTCACTGTTATGCACGAGCACCTTTGTGACGAACGTTCGATGTTTCTCATTTTTTTAAACCTTTTCCTTTTTAATTTAGATGAAATATTAATTTCAATGGGTTTAAAAAAAATTTAAAGTCACAGATTCTGACCAGCAGAACCTATCTTAATCAAGTTGCTAATTATTGAGGATCTGATATATTATCCTCGTTTTACTTTGAACAAAATTTTAAAAAAGATTTAGAGACGACGATGGATGCAACTCAGAGACTGCGCAGTTTTATTTTGATAGTAGGTAGTTAAATTTGGGTGAAGAGAAGTAATAAGTATTTCTGACTAGTACTGACAGGTTGTGGTTTAGTTTTCACGTGACAGAGCTCGAGATACACTTTTCTTGTTTAATTAACTGAAATGCGTCACATTTCCGTTTAAGCGAGGAAAAGTTATGATATATATTCTGGAACAGTATACCACTAGAATATTGATTACTAACGAATTTTTAGTTTAATTGATATACACATACCTATACTTCTCTTAAACTAATTAATGAAGACTTGATATGGAACCATGGTTCTCAAGTAAGTAAACGATTAGTCCGATTCCAAGGGTTAACAAATGTTGGTGATTGGTTGTAAGAATACGTGTGGTTAGTTACAAAATGCTTATGGGTTCGATGTAAGAAGGAATATCTATTAGAATTAGAAACATCGACACATTATGAGAAGTATTTATTTTATTTTTACCCAGACGTTCTACTATCTACGCAATCTTTCTAGCCTACTTAAAGAAAGAATTTTAATTTCGAGGGCACTTTTAAACCGGAACTTCACTTCTCGTTACATTAAAACAAAAAAAAAGGATTTGGAAACATTCTCGAACCATAAAGTTTCTTTTAATCAAAGCTGTATAAAGTTATTGTTTAAAAACCAAATTGCGCGTTGCTGTAATTTTTTGTTATTCGTTCTGACTCAAGACAAAAACAATTGGAAATAAAGTAAATCTATCTGTATTGAACATGTTTACAGAATGAGGTAATGCCATTCAACTGTTGTTACTTGTAAGTGGCTGGGATGAGATGTAATGTTTCCTCAATCTTTATTTTTTAGAATTCGTTATTAACACCAAAAGAAGCGCCAATGAAAAAACACGTTCCCGAATACATAACCAGTACACTTTCAACACAAGCTGAATAAATCAGGAAGTCTAAGAATTTTTAATGCCACTTGTCTGTTTTCTTCGTTTCCAAGGGAGGTTGAGAAGCCACTTTGCAAGTTTAAAATATTCTGTTGTCGTGCACTGATTTTCCCATTTGTATATTTGTTTCTGATGTATCTGTTATTTGTTTAATAGATCTTTTTCTGTGATCGAAATTGTTGTTTTTAATTTCTTAATATTAGTTTTTAAAGTAAACGGAAAAGGTTATTGATTCTGCAGCTATGGCAACTTGAATATTTGTTTTTAATTTCACTTGAGTTTGATTTAAATGAGCTTGGGCGAGACAAACACAACAAATATATCATGAATAATATTTTTTATTAGTAAGATGAAATAATTCTCAGATCCACAGTATTGGAACAAGTAATGAAAATTAAGCTAATGAAATTATCACGTGAATTTGAAAAATAATAAACATGAAAAATATACTTTTCTTAAAACACTGACAAAAATTAAACTTGCTTAAACAACTGTTGTTTTTGTAGAAAAAAATAATAACTTCATTTCATAAAATAAAGAGCATAGCATCTAACTAGTGCTAAAAGTTCTAATATTGCCTTCAAAGAATAATGCTTTGCCAATGTTGTTAAAATCCTGATAATCTAAGATAATTAATTATCCAGAGTGTAATTATTTTCAGAAATATTTGATAATTTAAAAATAGCAATCCGTAATCACTGTTGTGTAATTATCTGAGAGTATAACTTACTCAAAGTGTAATACTTTTCAAGAGTGTCAAATGGTCTAAAATCAACATTACTCTTCAGAGAGTAATCCTTATAGAGGTTACGTACTTATCTAAGATAATAACTATTCAAAGAATAATTTAGAGGCTTAATTCTATATCAGTATTATGTGATTATCTAAGAAGATACATCTTCACAACATAAAAATTTTCAATAAAATTTTAAAGTATGTAATCACATATAAGATGATATTCTAGTATATGAAGTATTACAGATATCGATATCGATATGATTTTGCAATTTGTTGGATACGACTCCCTAATTAAAGTTACAATACTCTTTGTGTATATACATGTGTATATATATAACATGGAATTCACTTATAGCTTCTGTATGAAAAGTTCAGCTTAAATTATATATATCAAATATTCTACAAAGAATTAAAGCCCATAAAATGAGTTACGGATCAGATAAGCATTTATAGCTATATAAATATTATGTATAAGATGTTCTACAAGAAACTATAGACTATAAAGCGTTTATTAATGACCTCTATCAAGACACACAAAATGATAAAAATTAACCAGTGCCGAGATCTGTTTTAAGCTACAATTTTGATTTGAACTGTTTAAGTACCACGCAACAAAGCTTTACAATCTTGAGAAAAGATGCACCGAAGAAAAACGACCATGTTATTTTCTATTAAGCAGTTCGTTAACGTGCATGCAAAAGTTTAACGATTCGCCAAGTTGAAAGGAATTGTACGAAAGGCTGAACACAAGAGACTTCGCTAACATAACTAAAAAAAAAAAACAAAGATGGAGAGAATACTTTAAGCGAATATTTTTGAATAAAATACTTTACTTTGTGGTTTATAGATCTCCTATCCAATATGCGTAGAACTGCTTTTCAAAACTACCTTTTGTCTACCACTAGACACTGCCCAAGAGGCTTTTCCATTGATACCAAAACTAATTGCAGTCACGCACTTGTTAGGCCTAACGAACTATCCTGTTTCGCCAATTTATGAATTTTTCACCATGTAAAATATCCGATTTGTTCAAGGTTTGCGAAATCATAACATTTGTTTGCTCATTCTTATCCAGGTGATATGTTAAGTAAGTGTGGAAACTGCGTGTAACAGAGTTACTAATACTTTTACTCGCGAATTAACGCTAAATGAAAGCAATATATTTAGGGTTACGTAAATAAAGCGCCATTTTAATATCTTAGGTAAAATGTTCCACGAAAGCATCACATTACAAATGTAACTTCATACAATACAATTTAATTATAAATTTAGCCTTGAATGCCAAACATCATATAATGCTAAAAATCATATAATATTAATGATAGAAACAATCTTATTACCTCATATGTGGCAGGATTCGATATTTGTCAAATAAAATAATTTTCTGTAAATAAATACGCTTCTTGATTAAGTTTACTGCAAAAAGTCCAGGTTGGATCAAAACGTTTTTACATTGATTCCAACTTTATAGACAATATTTATACAACATAATACAAGGACAAAAAAGTTATAATAATAAGCAATGTTAAATTAACCGCCATGATTTGTTTTTGTAAAGATTTAACCCGTTATCTATATTTATGAAAATCACGCTGCAATTGTTTTTAGACCACGACAGAGAAAACTAACTAGCCACCAATGACTGCTGCTAAAGGAATGGTGTGTTTAAAGATGGCATAACGATGGCAAAATAAAATGTCTGAAAAGTTAGTTCTTTCCAAACAGACTTTATAATCTGATGCTTCTGGAACATTATTTTATTCCAGACAATCAAAAAAGGCCGTCACATTTAATAAAATGTAATTTTCACTTATGAAATTGAATATCACAGAAGAAGAAAAAAAAACTATAATTATATGTTGTTGTTTTTTCTATTCAGAATACAACTAGGTGTTAAAAAGATCAAATCGACACAAGATTTTTCTGCTTACAATTAGATAGTTCGGTCTCTGTCGAAAACGCTTTGTAAGACATGCAACAGTTCACGTGTGTTTTTGCGTATATTTCATACACTTCAGATTAGTGAGAAGCAAGTGTAAAATACAGCTTTTGTAATATTCGATGTTACTTACACTGTCATTAGCGGTATATCTTAAGCGTAGTTAAATATTTTCTTCGTAGAAACTTTAGAATGTCATTACAAAGTGAAGACTATAGATGACCATGTAAATTCACTAAACTGTAAGTTCAAAGTACGAAACATATGAGATGTATCAACAACAACAAAAAATGATAAAAATCTTTTAAGCATGCGTGTTGACAAGCTTGGAACACAGGTGAAATTAAAGCATTCTTCCAGTATCTAAAGAAAATCGCGACAAACAGGCTAATTATAAATACGTGTACTTGATTAGTAAATAATAGTCAAACTTATTTTTTACTATATTAGTCTACAGTAATTAGTCAACAACAGATGAGTTGTCTTGTTTGTTTTTACTGTGTTAGTTTACAGTAAAAAGTCTATAACAGAATAATTGTCTTGTTTGTTTTTACAGTGTTAGTCTACAGTAATCAATCTACAACAGAAGAGTTGTCTTGTTTGTTTTTACTGTGTTAGTCTACAGTAATCAGTCTACAACAGATGAGTTGTCTTGTTTGTTTTACAGTGTTAGTCTACAGTAATCAGTCTACAACAGAAGAGTTGTCTTGTTTGTTCTTACTGTGTTAGTTTACAGTAAAAAAGTCTATAACAGAATAATTGTCTTGTTTGTTTTTACTGTGTTAATCAACAGTAATCAGTCTGCAACAAATGAGTTGTCTTGTTTGATTTTACCATGTCTATTATAAAATAACTAACAACGAACAACGTTAAATCAGGCCTTATTCCGTTACATGATACTTAAGTTACAAACACACTTCGATTTATGAGCGAAAAGCCTATTGAAAATTATAAGAACTACGATAAAGATATTGTCTTGAATTTGTTGTTTTAAGGCTAGCTTGAAACGCTTTATGTAAACAATAAAGGTAACACAGAAAATAGTGGACATTCTTTCGAAATTGTGTTCTTCCAACCGGCATTATAAACAGAAATCCAAACACTGGCAATTTTCACGCAACGAGAACGTTTAAAATAAATTAAACTTATATCATGCAAAATATGATTCACTGAAATTTAAAGAAAGAAAATATTTATTGTTTTCTCTTTGTCAAATTTTTAGTCTTCTTAGCATTACGTCATACTTCGTCATCATTGGTTGAATGCCGACATTTTAAAATATCAAACACTTATTAGCCGTCACATTTTTTATAGCTATTTAATTAGTATCAGTTAATTAAGTAGTTTCCAAAGTTATGAATTTCTATGGTATCAACAATCTTTCTACGTTTGACTAACTGCAAGAATTAATTACAGCATTCTAGCATAATTTATTCCCCTGGTGTGAAAAAAAAACCACAGAAAACAATCAACAGTTGTCAGTCGCCAACTAGCTGTTGGCAGATTTTTTCGGACTTCGCTTGCACCAAACTTGCTAATGTATAGAACTGCTCTTTATCTCCGATATCGATGCTTGTGACATGCTCAAAACAGCAAGGAAGAGAAATGTCGCATTTCTTAGGCAATTTCACCTTTTCTGGCTTCTTCTTAGTGCATTTTCCTTTCACTTTGGGAACGGATAAAGAAATGTTCAGAGGATCTGATGTCAACAGTTCGACTCGTTCGTGAAACTGACTGGCAGCTGTTTTACTATCAAAACTGAAACCAACCATTTGACTGTGATCAGCTGACTGAAACATGGTATGAAAACTGTTGTCCTGCGCACGATAGTTCGTCAAATTATCGATAACATCATGCCAAAGAATGAAACCCGTGCCCCTTTCGGCAAGGACCACTTTGAGTCTGCGCTTGCTTCGTGCTCTCGTCTCTCCTCTATCAAAAAGCAGAACAGGGATTCCTCTCTGTCCCGGTGCCCATTTATCTCCTGCTTTCGCAAAATACAGATTTGCTAAACACGGACACACAAACACGAATGTTTTTTGACTTCGAAAAAACATTTCAACTTGGGATAGCTCCTGTTCCGTCAACACGCTGTATGCGTTGTTATGGTTACCGTTAGATAGGTCTGGCTGAGAATCTGTGCTGGTCGCTATGTCAGAAAAATTACCATTAGTCATTTCATCGTTGTCTTGTAAATTGACGTGGTCAAGGTGATCGTATTTCTCTGTCATTTTTTATACAGCTGCCTCTTCGTTGAAAACTGTTTGATGAAACGCTTCTTAATAAAGGAAACTAAATGATAACAATGAAAAGCTAGTGCCAGTGGAACACTATTTTTTACTTGTTGAAGACAACTCCAGAAAACCACTAATGTGTAGAATATTTGACAGGAAGTGTGAAGTTTCCATGTTGTGAACCTGTTCGGAGCTTTTGTCGTTCATGTTTTCGTGCACTTGTTTTCGCCTCGACTAACCCAGAAACACCCATATAAAACTGAGAAAGATGAAAAATAGATTTATTCTCTGCAGGAACCTCGAGAAACGATGAAGTTCGTGATTGTTCTTATATGTGGTGTACTGAGTAGAGAACGTCTGAGAAACCTTGCGGTGAATAGCACTTTTTTCCCTCAATTTCCTGAAAATAATAAAATAAAAATAGAGAATAAAAACATTCTGAAAATATATAATCTCAAACATTTAGTACGTTTTGTCAGAAACAAGTACGAGGTTCTGGTATAAGCTAGGTGATTAAAATACATGGTTACAGTGGACTACATAGTTACGAGGCTCAAGTGAACTATGACTTCCTCCATGTCACATCGTTAAGTAGAACGCCATCTTGAGGAATCATGTGACACCTAAAAGGACCCGACGCTGCGTTTGTTTGTTTGTAGTTAAGCACAATGGGCTTTTCTGTGTACTGCCCACCACGGGTATCGAAACCCGGTTTCTAGCATTGTAAGTTCGCAAATATACCGCTGTGCCACTGGGGCGCGTGCTTGGAACAAGTACGAAACTGATATCCGAAACGTGATACATCTGATTTCATTTTATAATTTCTTGTGGTGTAATATACTCTGTGATTCCTAATTTGAAAAAAAAAAAATATTTACGTATTTTAAAATACTTCTTGTATCGCAACATAATACTTGAGACTTTTTTTTCAGAGCCATTATCGACAGATTAAAGCACAGGTCCCTCACAAGGTCTGTTTTTTTGTTTGTTTTTTTTGTCTCTACTATAAATTTCAGTCACTGGAACACACACACACGAGAATCCGGCACGTGTAAGCTATTAAAACAATTTTGTTTACATTATCAGGTGTTGTTAAGGTCGAAACTGAGGAAAACAAACATAAATCACAGATATGATGTGAAAGAGTGTGTAGAGATGTGAAATGTTCAACTCCACAAAGTTCACGTTATACTGTCACTAAAACCTTAGTCCACCATGCTGCGTCAGTAATGTGATATTTAAAGTGTTCAGAAACCCTGAGTGTCGTTGAACCATGTTTTTTCCCCATATTTAGGCATATCTGGTGGTCAGTTTGAGAAACGGAGAGTATGAAAATTAGATGTCACAGTATTATGAATGTCATAATATATATGATGTGACAGTATATAAGAATATTCGATATCACATATGCTGAGTGTTTCAGTAATCATAAACATATCTATTGTCCTTACGCCATGAACACATATACATACCACATTCGTAATTTACATGATAGGTCTTTTGTCCCAACGCTCATACTCTGCAAATATTATAGTAAACTGTGCACGTGCTCGATATTAAAGTCGAGCCTGTTTGTGTGAAAATGACTGACTTTTGGGCAGAAATCGATATAACACCCATAATATGCACCCTATGTTAACAAACACATTGCAGAATCTTCATGTTGACTTACTGGGAGGTACCAAGCCTACCGAAAGCACCATTGTTACTGTTTCCCTTCCCAGCACGTTATTGTTCAGTGAATTTTAGGGTCAAAAATGGTCCTTATGTGGACCCATCCTTTATAGACCTCCTCAATCTCAGATCCCACATTTCTGTATTTCAAGTTTCATGTAAAAATAGAAACGCATCTATCTTTGTTAGCACTTACTACTCCCACGGATTTTATCTTCTTTCCGGATATTACTCCGCTGAGTCAGTGGTAACTTTAAGGACTTACAACGCTAAAATCCGGGGTTCGATTCACCGCGATGGACAGAGCGCAGAGAGCATATTGTGTAGCCTTACGCTAAAACAAACAAACGGTTCACATAATTTATTAAATTTCAAAATCTTCTTCAGAACGAACACGAAAAGAAATCTTTTACCTCTTTCTTAAAGGTTTTATTTTTACTTTTTAAAAACAGATAAATGAAGAAAAAAAATGTCAGTTTGTCATTTTATAAACACAAGTTATACCAGTGCTATCTGGAAAATACTTAAGGGTATGTAGATATTACGAGTGCACGAGTGACATCATAGCTTAATATGTCTTAAATTTTTATTAAGCTTCATATCTTCCAAACTTTCAATTTAGTCAGTCAAAGCAGAATAATTTACCTGCGCAAGTAATTTCAGAAGTGAACAGAACTGTAAAGGTAAGTAAAACCTGCAATAAACAAATAAAAACAACAACATTTTTTAAGGTGGGGGGGGGGGCATGTCTGGTTCAAGTAAGTAGCTAATCACACCAAACATTAAATTTTAACTAGTCAGGAACGATGATGTTGTGGAAACCTCGTAAAATAACAATCACAATTTCATAAGCCTTTCATTACATTGATCGTATCCATAAAAAAATTAGTCCAGGCGTAGCCTAGTGGTTAGCATGTCAGGTTGCAGTCTTAAATTCCGGGGTTCGAAACATAACGCCGCTGAAAGATCCGCACTTTCGTCTCTGTGAGCGTGTTATGAAAATAGCAGTCAACCCTAAACTTCTCTTCAGGAAGTCGGACAAATCCCTTACGGCTGCGGTGGTCTTCCCTCTGATCGGTAGTCCAAAATTAAGAATGGATATACCTGAAATCTAAAGGTCACTGACCTGGCCGTTTAGCCCACGTGCACATCAGGTGCTCATCTGGTTGCAAATTCCTCTTCCACGAAGAAATTAAATTATACAAGACTACAATATATATATATATTTTCTAGAATCGTGTTTAATTAAAAGTCTAAATTTGTAAAAATATTTATGTTTGAATTAACAAGCTGAAAGTTGTTAATATTTACCACCAGTCTAATTTATTCAAAATGTTCAAAAATCTAATCAGTATTGCTATGCTGTTGCGACTAAAGACGACACCCGGAATTAATCAGTGGTTTTATTTTAATATTTATGAAACGAGTGATCACTTAATTAATTGGTATTTCTATCCTTCTGGATCAAAGAAATGATCAGAAGTTTGTAAACTTTTGTAGCGATGATCCTGCTCCGATGACCCTAGAATAAAGAAGCATTCAATGAACTGATAAAACTTCAAGTTGACAGTGTGTGTGTGTGTGTGTGTGTGGTTCATCATATGTGATGAATATAGTGGTGATCTCATGCCTGACAAGGTACTTATATCATGCTGAGCCAACACTCCAAATGCTTTGATTAATGTTTAATCTGTATTCAAGCTTATGGATTGCGTTCCCACACAGCTCAGTAACAGATGTGCATGCTTTGTATGAGTTGCAACACGTTAATTAGAAAATAAGGCACGACTTGAAAGCGTGTGTTCAAATAAATCATGAATGGTAGATAATCGAAGACATTGATTTTATGACAAGTGGTTATAAACCTAATCTAGCAAGAGTCAGCACAAGGATTTCCGGACATAACTAAAGCTTACAGTCTCGTAATACGTTACGCAATCACGCTGATGTCATTAAGCATGTCCGATATCTTCATCTCTAATTGGCTACGGTGGTGGAAAGTGCGTGTTTCGAAAAATTAATTAATTACACTTACGAGTCTGTATTGGTCAAGGGTTGTATTCGCATTTCGAAGGATTAATATAGTTTATACATAAGGTATTATAGTCGGTGATCTATAAATAGATGGGAAAGCTGTCCCAGAGGCCCGTCTGACATAACACATGAAAGGTCCACCTATGAAATATATAAAATTACTACTTTTTTCTGCCTTGGGGCCCGTCTTATACACAATCGCAATTCGAAAAAAGACCGCCTCACCATTCCCCCGCCGTAATACTACATTACGCAGTACAATCAGAAATAAGATTTTATTTTGTTTATGTTAAAATTTGGTGTATTATTTTACATACCTAATTTTAGTAGGGTTGTATTGGGGGTTAGAATATTCTTGCTCCAGGGCTTTCATAAGGTTATATACGCAACTGATTATAATTAGGCATTCCGTGGTTAAATCATAGTAGGATTTACAGAGTACAAGTGAAAGAAATCAAAAATCTGACGCATCTCTTTTATTTATATCTGTTCGTAGATTAGCCAGAAACTATTCTGTAACTCGTGGATTAACCAGAATCTATTTTGTAACTCGTGGATTAGTCAGCAACTATTCTGTAACTCGTGGATTAACCAGAAACTATTCTGTAACTCGTGGATTAACCAGAAACTATTTTGTAACTCGTGGATTAACCAGAAACTATTTTGTAACTCGTGGATTAGTCAGCAACTATTCTGAAACTTGTAGATTAGCCAGCAACTATTCTGCAACTCGTGGATTAACCAGCAACTCTTCTGTAACTCGTAGATTAGCGAGTAACTATTTTGCAACTTATAGATTAGTCAGCAACTCTTCTGCAACTCGTGGATTAACCAGCAACTCTTCTGTAACTCGTGGATTAACCAGAAACTATTCTGTAACTCGTAGATTAGCGAGTAACTATTTTGCAACTTATAGATTAGCCAGCAACTCTTCTGCAACTCGTGGATTAACCAGCAACTCTTCTGTAACTCCTGGATTAGTCAGCAACTGTTCTGTAACTCATTGATTAACCAGCAACTATTTTGTAACTCCTGGATTAGTCAGCAACTATTCTGTAACTCGTTGATTAGCCAGCAACTATTTTGTAACTCGTGTATTAGTCAGCAACTATTCTGTAACTCGTGGATTAACCAGCAACTGTTCTGTAACTCGTGTATTAGTCAGAAACTGTTCTGTAACTCGTTGATTAGCCAGCAACTGTTCTGTAACTCGTAGATTAGTCAGCAACTATTCTGTAACTCGTTGATTAGCCAGCAACTATTTTGTAACTCGTAGATTAGTCAGCAACTATTCTGTAACTCGTGGATTAACCAGCAACTATTTTGTAACTCGTGTATTAGTCAGCAACTATTCTGTAACTCGTGTATTAGTCAGCAACTATTCTGTAACTCGTGGATTAACCAGCAACTGTTCTGTAACTCGTACATTAGTTAGAAACTGTTCTGTAACTCGTTGATTAGCCAGCAACTGTTCTGTAACTCGTAGATTAGTCAGCAACTGTTCTGTAACTCGTTGATTAGTCAGCAACTGTTTTGTAACTCGTGGATTAACCAGCAACTATTATATAACTCGTGGATTAGCCAGCAACTATTATGTAACTCGTAGATTATCTAACTCTTATTGTGCATCTAACGACTTAGATGACTTAGAAGGGGAGGACAAAAGAACTTCAAGAATGAGAAGTAAAATACTGTCGAATAGTAGAATCCTGTGACGACATTCATATACTGTAACAGTATTCTTGCGTAAAGTTTACTTTCATATTGAAATAGCATTGAAATAGTTATTCTGTTTTATTTTGCTACTAAACACAATAATGGTGCAAAGCTCATGAACCGATGCTGTAAGATCGCTATATGTTTTAATTTTTTTAAGCGGTTTACCATTATTTCAACTCTAATGCTCCTTAAACTATACTGTACTAACATGTTTAAACTTTCTTTAATACATAATGTTCATTAATGCTATCGACTTGTCTTCATTTAAGTATATATAATTTGCTATAGTTTTATTTTAAATTTTGGCTTCATTGAGTTAAAAAGTATCCACTGTCTCTCTGATAATTTTTGCTTGGGTTTACAAAGTATCCACTGTCTCTCTGATAAATTGTCTGTTGCGTCAGCGAGGTCACGTGACTAGTATCACGCCACGTACTTCTCGAACCTTCGTGAATTATCGGGAGACTAGAAGATTGGGGGTAGTCTGGTATATATAAGATGGTCACAACGTGACGGAACAATGCGTAATTGAACTGCAGTCAGAGAGTGTGTAATTGAACTGAATATTGTCGAGCACGAGCACGTGAGACGTTCTTTGAGAATTATAGCGTTTGTTTAAGCGCGACTGTTGAAATTAAGTGTATAACAAAGTTATATTCAGAAAGAATAAACCAGTTTAATTTAAGAAAGGACTTGAATCGGTAAAATTTCTTCGGTAAGAGTTTTAACGGAAAATTAACTAATGAACATAGACGTAACAAATTGGTGTCAGAGAGTGGGACGAAAAAAATGGAAACGA